ACGATAGACCCAGGAGCGGGACGCACACACTTATGTTTACTGAAGGGTAGAAGAGCGAGGCGAGATTGCATACCAACTAATAAGGTGGCGGAGTGGGTTAAGCGGATGAGAGCCGCCCAGCTATCACCCAGGAGGCCGAAGTATACCTTACCTTGTGGCTCGAAGGGGAGACAATCACTGCTGGACCTCACATGGTCTCAGTGTTGTACTCAGAGCAGGTAGAGGATAAGGTCGGTCTGCTAATAGGCAGGGATATTGGCAGCAGAGTAGGATTGCAGTTGGACCTAGCAACGGGAACGGTGTCTCGATCGAAAAGAACCATCAGCATAGATAAAGGAAAAGTGGTGGATGATTGTGCAGCACATGCCATTGATGTGGTGAGGTACGTGCAGGACAATGTGATAAGATATCTTGGTACTCCGGGAGAAGGACAAGTAGGAACTCAACCATCACCTCAAGGAGAGGGTAAGATTATTTTTCCAATGCTTCCACCACAGGAACGGGAAGTCGCCAGAGTTGCTGTGTCGACGTTTGTGGGAAAAGGGGACCTGGAGGTTGAGGGCCTTCGAGAATATAGTGTCTTGCAGGAAGTTGAGAGAAGACAGCCGAGCAGACTGCGAAGGGCAGGAAGCGGTGGTGTATATAGATCTCCCGAAAAGAGACGATAAGGCGATGAAGGAACTTCGTGGACCCAGATACGAGAGGGCTGCGTACGAGAAGCTCTCGGAGGCTCATCAACGGGTGTACTAGGATCTGCTTCAAAAGTTTGTAGCGAGAGGGCGGTGGATAAGGAGATCGGAGCTGAAAAGCGAAGAGCACTCTCGAGAGAGAAAATGCTTGCCAGACTCTCCCCTCTATGTCACACAGCTAGCAAAGAAACCACGACTTGTCTTGGATCGTACAGCAGTCAGTGCGAGTTTGGGAGGCGTATCATCGTTACTGCAGGCAACGTCGGATATACTCATTGTGGTGCGACTCAACGGTGCGGATATGATTGTTGCAGATCTCCAAAAGGCTTATTATAGATGCAGGCTCTTAGCGCACTGGGTGTTGCTTGCTATCGTGATAGAGGAGTTTGTGTCGGATAGAGTGGCCTTGAGGCTGCATTTCGGAGCTGGTTGTCTCCAGGGGGCAGTGAGGGAGATAGTTGCAAGATGATACTCGTTGTGGTGGCTGTGCAAGAGACGAAAAACCGGATATGCTAGGAACGCGTGGAGGGGTGTATAGCGGGCCGAAGGCTCGCGATTTCCCAAGTTCCAACCAGCTTATTTATTATGACATACGTTGGGCCCGGAAGTGACATACGTTGGGCCCGATGGGCCAACATTCAATCTGCTAAGCTGTCAGAAAAGTTGAAAAGGAATCCTGAGACCTATGGTCAGTGTTGTAAGCAGCTTGATATGCTGGTGCAGCGGGGCTACTCTCGAGAAGCTTCGGAAAAGATAAATCACGCATACGGTCTCGTCGTCGTACGAAAAGCCACATTTTCAACAACCTTTACGATTAGTTCTGGACGGCTCCATCTTGCGGGGCTATGTGTATCTCGGTGTTATATATGATCCATCGGTGGTGTCACCATTGTTAATTATCCGTCGCTATGCGTACTTCACGATAGCTGACTTGGAGAGGGTCTTACTCCATGGCTATTGTCAGCTCTAACTATGGAGTGGGGGGGCAGGTGGTATATGTTACTTTGGGCCGTCATGAGCCTTCGTGCTTCTCCGTCTACGTTGCAGACCTCCATGCGGGTCACCATCCAAGAGTTCGACAATGAAGTTGTGCCTGAGCTCGATATCGGCCCCCACTGTGGCCGATCGTTCATGGATGACATAGCTCAGGGTGCAGAGACCAGCTGCCATAGGGATATGTTGGCAGACGGAGTTCATCGAGTGGTTGGCAGAAAAAGCTTCTCCGAGTTTGAATCAAAGCGCTTGCGTAACAGAGTTAATGGTACCGACTCCTCAGAGGACAAAACTGCCACCCTCTTTGGTGTTCAGTAAGATCCGAAAGAAGATTGTCTTGAATCGTTCCTGCTCCTCCCTTGGAGGGCAAAGCCTCGAGGAGATGCACGCTCTATAACGTTGCGATCCTATATATCATGGCTAAACTCTCACTTCGACCCCTTGGGTCTATACCTAGAGGATGCCAGGGCTTGCAGATTGTTGATGCGTGCGGCTGTGCGTGCTGGGAAGACCATGAACGACCCTCTCTACGTGCAGGGGGACACGCTGGTGGTTGCCTGCTATGCAGCTCTTGTAGGCTATTCTTGCACCGTTACGGACATCGAGGGCACGCGATTGTACGCACGGGGTGGTCTCTACGATGTTGGACATGAGAGCTGGCCCATACCGAGGCTGGAGCTCTACGCGCTGGTTGAGCGTGGAGCTCGCGAGATTACTGATGAGGACCCCTTCGGAGGACCCCAAGGTCAATAAAATTATCCTGCGGAGTGATAGTTCCATTAATGTGCAGCATGTATCTTCAACCTCGCGAAGGCCGCTAATATCGATGGCGACGCCATTGATGACCGCTTTGTTGATCCTTAGCCTGCGCGTAAGCTCCCGCAGTCTCTCCACAGCCCAGCTGTAATGATCCTCGGCAGTCTGCGGACCGCCCGGAGAGCTGCTGGGCGGGATGCTATGGGAGGCAGATGCTGATGCTTCTTTGCTTCTGTGCGGCATTTGCACCTGCGTATCTATTTGTCTTGAATACGTGCAATGTAACTACTCTCTCTATTTGTCCTGTCCCACCGAGATCGTTTGAGT